CCCCCGCAATCACATTCGGCTACCACTGCACAAGTAAATTGAGTTTGGCCACCGGAACACATTAAACTCTTGAGTTCAAACTTTCTGGTGACATTTTTTTATTTTCTGATGTTCGGTTGTATTTCCCGATGTAAAAACACGCCGAAGTGCCTTGGGCTCCATAAAGATCGGGAAAGGCTGATCGAGTGCAGCAGCACTTTGATTTCCACTGAACGGGCAGGCAAGCACCGCGGCTTCCTTCCATCTGTTGAGTGCTTCTGCCCGGATTGAGGGGCCTCGCTAGGCGCGGAGAGGAGAAAGGGTGGAGTGTGGAGGGGTGTCGACAACACACCAAGCCCAACGAAAGCCGCGGAGCCCCGGGGAACTACGCGACCACACATCCCCGGCGTCGGGGGGGAACAACAACCAAAGCGACACGAAGGAAGCACATGAAGGAGGAAAAAAAAGTACTTACGATGCAAGAGGCGCCGGCTCCGCCCGGTCCAGGTTCGAAGGGGAGGTAAAGCCGCTCCGTCTTCTTCCGGGCTCGGCGGCAGCGACGGCGGTGGTGGTGGTGGTGAGTCGGGCGGGGATGTGACTGCGAACCTCCGGAGGAGTGAAGGCGAAGTGTGTGGCTTGCGTCATTCCACCAGGATGCCGCTATTGAGTGAGGGCGCCAACGCAGCCATCTTGCCGCCTAGCAAAGCCACCAATCACGGCGGGAGACGAGACGGAGACCAACCCTCTTCAAGTAGCCAAGTATAAATACTTCGTTACTCTACTGAATTACATTTTTTTTTTTGCGGTGTACACCGGAGCCCGCGTACGCCAGTACCGTGTTTTTTTTTTTGTTTTTTGGGTGGGGTGGGGATTGGGTCTAATATTTATTCATGTATTTATTTTCAAAATAAAACATTTGCTTTTACTTTGGAAAACAATAAACAACATGTTTGCCTATTTCCCCGGAATGTTACGGGCCAAACCAGTAACTAAATTGATACTTTTCCTACCTACTTTTGAAACCTACAATGACGGGAAGTGACAAAGTACAAATTTTTAACTTATAATTTAAAGCACAAATACTTTACTATATTGAAGTAGATTTTTAAAAAAGTATCTGTACTTGAGTATTTATTATTCTGACAACTTCCTGCTTTTACTCAGTGGTGGGACGTAATCAAACGCAAACACTTTGTTATTGCACTTAAGTAGATTTACTTGGTGTCCATATTTTAGAAGGCATTTATTTTACTGACGACTTTTTACCTTTACCGGTAGTCCCTGCAGTTGTAAACAGCCACTGATAGAAATACGTTTTCATCCGTCATTTGCAAACGAGTACTAGTATTAGAATTTTACAATGTCACTATGAGTACTAGTAGCACCGCAGTTGTCAACCAAGCGCACGATTTTCACTCACTTTTAACATGTAGTTGTCCTACTAGCGAAGATAAAGAACGTACATGGACCTTAACCCCGATATCAGGAATTCCAAGTACATTTTCTAAGTCTGCATTGTTTTATTTACTTTCCCTTAAGTAAAGGAGTGCACTATTTTGATGAAGTAATCTGTACTTTGTCTTTCTCCTCTCTCCCAACAGTGAAAGTAATCCAACAACATGAGCTCCCCAACTCCTCACGCCTTTAAAGGTCGTGTATTTATAATGTATACAGCATTAATCATTGAAGAGGCAGCCGATTTCATTCAAGATGTGACAGTGATTTACTAGCTTTGTACAACTTTCCCCACACTTTTTTTAAAATTGCCTGTGGAATAAAACAAGTAGTATGTCTAAGTGTACGCTTATAACACATGAACAATACATAAAAAAAAAATCTAAAATTAAATGGGGGGGAAAAAATGAAACAGATATGGTTGATATGAAACGAATCAAATCTGGAGCGCTATCTAGCAGTAATCCCCACGTAATATAATACTACATATGGAAGCCAGTGTACACCCTCGAGGGAGTGACACTTTTTTTCCTTCCAAATGTACAATTAATAGGGACAATTAATTTGAAGATAAAATAATAGTTTATCTTATATGTGCCCCCACTGGCCTAAACACGGCATTCTGACTAATACAGGTACTGCACTTGTGAAATAACAATTAAGCAGATTGATTCAAGACCGCCCTCTGCTGTCAGCTGAAATTGATGTCATAAGAGCCCTCGGGCTCGCATGACACTTGTCCCCGCAGGAAACGTATTTTTGCAGAGAAAATGTTTGCATTTCGTTCCCCTTTAAAACGATATTATATAATAGTAATCATAAAAACTATTTAAAAAAATCTATACAAATTGAATATTTCCTTATGGGATTATACAAATTTTGTGATTGTTTTCCTTTTCACAAGATTGTTTTTTTCAGAGAATATTTCAACTTTGATCTATCCATCAATGTTCATTCAATTACATTGTTGAATAAACACTGATGGATGGATCACATACATCGGCAGCCATGTCGCATATGCAGCAAATATCGGGGTTGCACCGTAAACGCAAAAAGTAAATAAAACCTATTAAATGAATAACTACTGCGAAAACACCTGACTCAATGTATCGACATGCCTAACCATATTTTTCATCTTCGAACAGAACCAAGAGAGTCCATAAAAGTCTCAATTTTTATTACATGAATCATCCTTTATCATCATCTTCCTACTCATCCTTTTGTTGGTTTAGCGCCCCTCCGTGGCCAACACAGGTGCAACACGTTGCTGCGGCGCGATCGATGAGGCGCACAAGCCAGAAATCGAGCCAACAGCTTTTGTATGAGCTCAGTCAATAAACAATACACTACTCACAACATTTCGGGACACAGTGGTGCTCAATTTGTTGCGGGACCACACTCTTATGTCAAAACAGTTTCGAGCTTAAATCATCGCTCTCCATTGAAATGAATGAAAATACAATTAATCCGGTCCGGCCCTTTAAAAACATCGGATTTTTCCTCAAGGTTTTTCAAAAGAAAAATGGCCCTCCACAGTATTTCAATGTATAAAAATACACAGCCATATCCAGGGTTCGACCGATGTTTTTTTTTTTTTTTTAGGCCAATGCTGACAGAATAAAACTGTGATAACCAATTGATCAACCAATCAATTTAAAAGAATATATAATGAATAAAATAACTTCGTTTTTGGTCCCTTAACACTTAGAATCAAGATCCGGATTACACAATAGATAACTGGCGCCTTTTATAAATGCATATGGTAAACTGAATTTTTATTAATCACCTCCCCCCAAAAGATGATAAACTGCTAAGAAGCATTTTTCACAAAAACATAGGTTGTTCCCCCAAAATCCTGCAGGTGTCAAAAAAATTGTTTTGTGATCTATTTCTTTTTTTAATGTTTGAACATGTTAATAAAAAATAAAAATCATCCGATGATGTGAATTGGTCAGGGCCGAGGAATAACATCAGGAAAACACAGAAAATGCGATGACGTTAACCGCAGCAAATTTTTAGGTGAATCCGTAAAAGTTCCCACAAAAGCCCCAAATTCTGAACCGTTTGTGAGTAGTGTATCGATTCACATTGCGAGGTGACTTCATACAGGGAAGGGCCGTGATGTTTGCTTTCTCATCAAGCCTCCGTTCGGAGACCCTTCAAAGTGGCAGCCGGGGGCGGCCCGGCACCCTCG